AGGCCTGAGCCGCCGTGCCCAGCCTGTCATTCCTTTTCATTGCCAAGATACTCCGTTGTCCTGGAAGAACTTTGAGCAGAGAAGGGACAGGGTTGGGCTAGCGCTTTATCCCTCCAGTGCATTAGAGGGGGTGGGACAGGCTAAAAGATAATAAATTTTAAAAGATGAAATAGAGTTTCATCTTTTTGGCCAGGCTGGTCTCGAACTCCTGACCTCAGGTGATCCGCCTGCCTCAGCCTCCTAAAATTTATTATCTATTTTAGTGATAGAGTCTCATTCTGTCGCCCAGGCTGGAGTGCAGTGGCACAATCAGGTCACTGCAGCCTCGACCTCCTGGGCTCAAGCGATCCTCCTGCCTCAGTCTCCCGAGTAGCTGGGACCACAGGTACCAGCCACCACATCTGGCCAGTTGTTTAAATTTTTTGTAGAGACGGGTTCTATGTTGCCCAGGCTAGTCTCGAAGTCCTGGCCTCAAGAGATTCTCTCACTGGGCGTGGTGTCTCATGCCTGTAATCCCAGCACTTTGGGAGGCCGAGCCATGTAGATCACCTGAGGTCAGGAGTTTGAGACCAGCCTGACCAATATGGTGAAACCCCATTTCTACTAAAATTACAAAACTTAATTGGGCATGGTGGCGTGCTTCTGTAATCCCAGCTACTCAGGAGGCTGAGGCAGGAAAATCTCTTGAACCCGGGAGGCAGAGGTTGCAGTAAGCCGAGATTGCACCACTGCGCTCCAGCCTGGGAGACAGGGCTAGACTCCATATCAGAAAAAAAAAAAAAAAAAAAAAGATTCTTCCACCGAGGCCTCCCAAAATGTTGGGATTACTGGCGTGAGCCACTGCTGAGCCAAGTCATAGCACTCTGAAGGCTGCTTTGACTCTGCTGTGCTCACGGTAACTGCGCCCACCTTGCCTTTGATTATTAACTTTCGTCACTTGGTCCCTGCTACCTTAAGATCCAATTATCACCATTAGAGTCAGGCTTTCCAGTTCTTGCTCCATCACCCAGGATGGAACAGCTAACTGCAACCTCCACCTCCCAGGTTCAAGCAATTCTCCTGCCTCAGCCTCCTGAGTAGCCAGGAATTACAGGCACCTGCCACCACACCTGGCTAATTTTTTTTTGTCTTTTTAGTTGGGACAGGGTTTCATCTTTTTGGCCAGGCTGGTCTTGAGCTCCTGACCTCAGGTGATCCGCCTGCCTCAGCTTTCTAAACTACAGGGATTACAGGCATGAGCCACCATGCCCGACCTGATCGTTGTATTTTTAAAAGAGCCAGGGTTTCACCACATTGGCCAGGCTGGTCTTGAACTCCTGACCTCACGTGGTCCACCCAGCTCAGCCTCCCAAAGTCCCACTGTAAGTTCTGACCTAGAAGGAGAGGGACTGTGACAGAGCGACGCATGGACACAGATACGGCTGATGGAGACCAGCTTGTCACACAATCCCAGCGCGACGCAAGAGGGGATACAGTAAGCAACTGCCTCCCCCTCAGCGGACCCCCGAGCCGACGCCAATGCAGCCTCCTCGTCACAGACACGAACCTACACAGACACACACCGCCTCTACCAAGGCACATGTGACGGACACCGCCACTCAGCGACACCCACATACCGAACTCAGCAACAGGACACGTGGGCGGTGGCTCCAGCCACACCGCCCTCCCTCCACCACCGCCCGAGACCACCACGTTCCAAGTCCGCAGGCCCAGAGGACACCCACCCACCGCAGCCCCCGCGCCCCGCCCGCCTGTTCCCTGGGTCCTCACCCCCACGACCCAGGGTGTCCCCGGACCAGGGGCCCTTTCTGCTCAGCTATGCCCACCTACCTTACGGGCAGGTCCAGCGGCGGGTTCCTCCTCCCAGGAAGTGGGGGTGGTATATTTAGTCACGATTAACCTCCCACCCAGTTTCCTGTCTCTCCAGGCACATCCAATTGGTTTAATGGGAGAGGATTACGTTAAGGAGAGGCATTTCCAGGTGCTGGGGAAAGGGGGAGGAGGGGAAGAGGGGAGCTGTTCCCTCCCCGACTTCTCGGTGTCCCAGCTGCTGGGACCCCTCCCCTCACCAGGCAGGGAGCAGAGTCAGTAACCCTCTCCCCTCTCAGTCGACCTCAAAGCCTTGGCCTGCCCCTGCCTACCCTCCTCCCTCCTCCCCGCCATCTTCCTTCCCCGACCTGCTTTCAGGGGAAGGTGATAGTTTGAAGCCGTCCACCCATCACTCATCCCACTTGAGTCCCGGGGAGTTCTGGGAGGGATCAACTCTCCTCATAGTCAGAAAAACAGTATCAGGCTGGGTGCGATGGCTCCCCACTGTAATCCCAGCATCTTGGGAGGCGGAGGGAGGCAGATGGCTTGAACCCGGGCGTTCAAGACCAGCCTGGGAAACATGCTGAAAAGCCATCTCTACCAACAAATAGACATAATGAGCCGGGCATGGTGGGGTGTGCCTGTAGTCTCGGCTGCTGGGGAGGCTGAGGAAGGACGATTGCTGGAGCGCTGGAGTTGAGGCTGTGGTGAGCCGTGATTGCAGAGTGAGACCCTATCTCAAAAACAAACAAATGCAATTTAAAACATTAAAAATCAGGCCAGATGTGGTGGCTCACCCCTGTCATCTCAGCACTTTGGGAGGCCTAGGTGGGCGGATCACTTGAGGTCAGGAGTTCAAGACGAGCCTGGCCAACATGGTGAAACCCCGTCTCTACTAAAAAGTATAAAAATTAGCCAGGTGTGAGTCACAATGCACACCGGTAGTCCCAGCTACTTGGGAGGCCGAGGTACGGGAATTGTTTGAACCTGGGAGGCGGAGGTTGTGCTGAGCTGAAATTGGGCCCTTACGCGCCAGCCTGGGCGCCAGCCTAAGACTCCAAAAAAAAAAAAAAAAAATTAATCAAAAATCAGAATCTCAGAGAATTCTATTTTCAGAAAAAGAGGGCTGGGCACAGTGGCTCATGTCTGTAATCCCAGCACTTTGGGAGGCTGAGGCGGGCAGATCACCTGAGGTCAGGAGTTCAAGACCAGCCTGGCCAAGATGGTGAAACCCCTGTTTTTGCTAAAAATACAAAAAAAAAAAAAAAATTAGCTGGGCTCTGTGGTGGGCCCCTGTGATCCCAGCTACTCAGGAGACTGAGGCTTTATGACCTTATGGGGCACTCCAGTGAGGGCTGGGTCCCGGCTGTGTTCTAGGACGGTGTACCTGAGAATCTGTTAAACCCTATGCAGCCCCGGGAGGTGGGTGCCATCACAGTTCCTGTTTCCCAGATGAGGAAGCAGGACCAGAGAGGTGACGTGGCTCGTCCAAGGTCACACAGCTGGATATTGTAGGGCTGGACTCCATTTGAATCCAGACAGCCTGGCTCCAGGGACCAGGCACTAACCATTCCATTTCCAGCCTCTTTTTCTTGAGACAGAGTCTCACTCTGTTGCCCAGACTGAAGTGCAGTGGCTTCATCTCAGCTCATTGCAGCCTCCATCACCTCCTGGGTTCAAGCAACTCTCCTGCCTCAGCCTCCCGAGTAGCTGGGATTACAGGTGTGTGCCACCATACCCATGTAATTTCTTTGTATTTTAGTAGAGACAGGATTTCAGTATGTTGGCCAGGCTGGTCTTGAACTCCTGACCTCAAGTGATCTGTCTACCTCAGCCTCCCAAAGTGCTGGGATTACAGCCGTGAGCCACCGCGCCCGGTTGCGTGTGGCGTATCTACTGTGCATCCTTTATGTGTGTGTATGTTTCCGAGTGTCCATGTGCATATTGGCATGTGGGTCTGTTTATAGCGATGTGTGTGTCTCTGTGTGAATCTCTCCACCTGGGCCCACCCCAAAGGGACTCAGGGGGTCCAGGAACACATTTTTCAAGGCACTCCTCAAAAACACACACATGCCTCCTGAGCCTTGAACACAGAGCAGCGGTGAACATGGCTGGGGGTGCCAAAGAGACTCAGAGGTCCTAGGATGGATCCGAGGAGAGGGCGGCGAAGGGGGTGCGTGGATGGTGGAGGGGCTGAGGGGCGCTAGGGAGAGGGGCCTAGAGGGCAGTGAGACGAGATGAAGCAGCCGGAGTCCAAGGCAGAGAGCTCACCTGGACTCTGAAGGAGAAGGGACAGGGAGGCCCTGAAGATGTGGGTTTCCAGTGGGGAAGGGGACAGAGAAAGACAAGGAGTGAACAAGTTAGAGACAGAACAAGAGGGGCAGGGACAGAAACAGGCAGGGGGACGGTCCACACTCGCCTTGGTGGTCTCTCTGTCTCTCTCTCTCTCTCTCTCTCTCGTGTTGTGGGCTCAGAGGTCTGGAAAGCTGAGAACCCATTGGTTTCTGAGCCTGTTTTCCTAGTTAGCCCCTGCCCGTGATGGCTGCTTGCAGGCGGGGCACGGTTCCCCACGTGTCCCTCGAGATACCTCCACCATCAGCACAATCCTCCTAGAAGACAGGCAAGGCTGTTCTCCCCATTGTCCGGACGTGGAAACCGGGGCCCAGAGGTGAGATTCGAACCTGTGTCCATCCAGAAGCCTTGGAAGTGAGGGCATCCATGCCTAACCTGCTCATTTCCCACAAGACAGAGGACACGGAGAGCCACAGCTGGCAAAGTGACATACTGTGGCCCCGAGACTTCACTCTCCCCGGCAACCACATCTCTTGCAGTCATTTTGCAGCTCCCTGTACTTAAGAGGTGGCGTCTAGGCCAGGCATGGTGGCTCCCGGTTGTAATCCCAGCAGTCTGGGAGGCTCCCGAGTAGTTGAAACTGCAGGCATGCACCACCACGCCCAAGCAATTTCTTTGCTTTTGTACAGATGGGATCGCTCTACATTGCCCAGGCTGGTCTTGAACTCCTGGCCTCAAGTGATCCACTCACCTTGGCCTCCCAAAGGGTTAGGATTACAGGCGTTGAGTCATCGCGCTTGCGCCCGGCCAATTAGTATTCTTAATCGTGATCCATGAGCTTCAAACTGGTAAGAATTTGAAATGTTGAAATAGACACAAAAACTCCAGTCGGTGGCTTTGTGTTTTTAAGACTTTATCATTAAAAAAAAAAAGAAGAAGAAATTAGAGGGGAGGCGGGGGCACAGGAGGGTGAAGGAATCTCTCCAAAATGTCAGATCCGGGCAACCCTCCTTCCCTGGCTGCCCAGCCACCCCCGTCCCTTCTCTGTCCTGGCGGTGAGGCCCCAGCCGCCATCTTCCAGACACCAAGGCCCAGGAGTCCAGCGTGGGTCCCAGGCAGAAGTGAAGGCAGAAGTGGGGCTCGGGAGCTGGAGCCCTTGGCGGTGTCCTTGAGAGCCAGCCCCTTGGGTGGGCAGTCAGGCCCCCATGTCCCAGCAGGGCCCCGGGGAGGTAGGCGTTGAGTGGAGGGGCCTTTAGAGGTGGGGTCCTGAAGCCGGAGGACCAGTGGGAACCAGAGCCAGTGTGAGGCTGGTGGGCACAGCGGAGGCTGGATCTGTGGCCAGGGGAGGAGAGGCCAAGTCAGGAGCGGGCAGGGGGCCTGTTCCCCACCCCAGCCCGCTGTGCAGCCCTCATCAGCACCAACGTGAGGGGGACACAGAGTGGCTGGCGGAGAATGATGCAGGAATGTGGGAGGGCCACAGAGAGAAGAGACGCAGTGATGAGAAAGAGGGAGACAGAGAATCAGAGCAGAGGCGAGGGTGGGAGAGAGACCCAGAGACAGAGAGACGGAGAACAAGGACAGAGACAGGCAGAGTGGGACACAGAGGCCTGGAGGGGGTCGGAGAGGACGACGTGGGGGGAGAGAGAAGCAGTCATACAGAAACAGACCAAATGGAGAGATGGAGAGAGAGTCCCCTTCACTGGACTTTGTGCCCCAGGAGGGCAGGGCTGGGGCTGTCATGATCACTGTTGTGTCCCCAACATCACCCAGCACAGGGCTGGGCCCAGAGGGGCTCAGGGGATGGATGGACAGATGGATGCTAAACTAAGGAGTCAGGACTTTGTCCAGATGGCACTAGGGAGCCACAAATGGTTTAATCCAGAGAGAGTCATACCTGTAACCACGGCGCCTTGGGAGGCAGAGGCAGGGGAATCGCTTGAGCCCAGGAGTTCAAGACCAGCCTGGGGAACAAAGCAAGACCCCCCCATCTCTACAAAAATAAAATAAACATTAGCCATGTATGATGGCGCACGCTAGTGGTCTGAGCTACTTGGGAGGCTGAGGCCAGAGGACTGCTTAACCGGGGAGGTGGAGGCTAGAGTGAGCCATGATTGCACACTGCACTCCAGCCTGGGTGACAGGGAGAGATCCTCTCTCTAAAAACAGAAAGACAAGGGAGAAGACAGCTGTGGAGAGACAGAAGCAGAGAAAAGAGCCCAGGGGTAGCCAGGCCATGGTGGGAAGCCCCCTCCATGATGACTGAGCCCAGAGATCCCTGACACTTTCCCCAGACCATGCCCACACACGCTTGAGCATGCCAGAGCTGAGTCACCCACTGCCCTACCCGGCCTGGACACACCTGCCCGTCTCTTCTTCCCAGGCTCGGCCTCCAGCACCCGCCTCCACACCCACGCCCTGGGCAGGCCTCCGCTCTCATCCCCGGGGCCTTTCTGCTGACCCTGAATTCATTACCCACCTGCCCGGCTGCCTGCCTCAACCCAGCCCTTGTGTGCAGGGGGCCGGGGCTGTCTCACAGCCGTGAGATTTCCAAGCTTTCCTGGCCTTGGCACATACTATTTCCTCTACAGAGGCTCCTCTCCTGCCTCACTCCTCCCATTCTCCTGGTCTCACCTCCGAAGTCCTCTCCTCCAGGCAGCCCTCCCTGAATCCTCCAGTCTGGGTCAGATGCCCCCTCTTCCAGGAAGCCCTCTCTGAACACCTCCCCCAATCCCAGGTCCAACGCCCACCCCTGTGAGCTCCTCTGCTTCCTGGGCTTCCCCATCCCAGGGCTGCCCATTTTGGGTCATCACCATCTGGGGATGGGTCTGTCCCCTTCACTGGACTTTGTGCCCCAGGAGGGCAGGGCTGGGGCTGTCATGATCACTGTTTTGTCCCCAACATCACCCAGCACAGGGCTGGGCCCAGAGGGGCTCAGGGGATGGATGGACAGATGGATGCTAAACTAAGGAGTCAGGACTTTGTCCAGACGGCACTAGGGAGCCACAGATGGTTTAATCCAGAGAAAGTCAAACTCTGAGCTGTGCTTTGGAAACTCCAGGCTGCCTCCCCAGCCTGGGCCTTTGCACATGCTGTTCTCTCTGCTTTTGTGAGCAGGGTACACCTGTGCAAGTGACCTCTTCTATCCGAACCTCAGTTTTCTCATCTGTGACATGAAAATTAGGCAACAGTCTTTTCCTTTTGGAGTTGTGGTAAAGACTAAATGAGAAGATGCTCTCAAGTGCTGCCATCATACCAGGCCACAGGAGACTCATGGCCTGGGAGAGTCAAATGATGCCCCCCTCCTAACATTATCCCCTACTCTGCCCAGTGGACTCCTATTCATCCTTCAGGGCCCCATCCAGAGGCCACTTCCTCTGGGAAGTCTTCCCTGATACCCCATTCCCTCCTATGGGAAAACTATGTTTTATTGTTTAAGCGGTTGCACTGGATTGTCACTGGGGTTGCCAACTTCCCCACAAGACCAGAATCTTCTCAAGATCCAGACCCTACCTGAGGCATGTCAGAAGGGAATGAAGGCTCAATTTATGTTTGGAGATGTATCATAGATGGATGGGTGTATGGATGGACGGGTGTAGGGATGGATGGATTGATGGATGGTGGATGGTGGATGGATATATGAATAATGGGATGTGTGAGTGGACGGATGGGTGCGTTGATGGGTAGACGAGATGACGCCTGGGTAGGGAGGTGGGTGAACGCACAGATAAATGGGGAGGTGTGTGGGTGGTTGGTCAGCGTGGAGGTAGATGGATGAGTAGGTTGGTGAGAGGATAGATGGGTGGGGTGAGTGGGTGAACGTGTGGCCGGATGGGGAGTGAATGGGTAGGGGAGAGGACTAGGTTTGGAAGGATGGATTGTGGGTGGACGAGTAATGGATGGATAATGACATGGACAGATGAGTGGGTGGGTGGATGGATGAACAGATGGAGGAGAGAAATGGAGTTGAAGGGACGGAGGGACGGAGGAAACATCTTCCCATCGAGCCTCAGAAAACCCGCAGTGCAGGGACCCAGGCTGACCCTGCTCCGGGTGTGCCCACTCTTGGGAGTCCTGAGGTCTTATGGAGGTTTGAGAACTGCACAGGCCCCAGCCCTCGGTCACTCACGCCTCTACAGATAGTGCCATTCGCCTTCCACGTTCAAACTCATCCCCACTGATCCTGGAAGACAAAAAAGGGGGGTCAGTGGGTCCTTCTGGGACACCCCAGATGCCTCTAAGTCTCCCACACCTCTTCCTTCACCAGGCGATCCCTCTACCAGGATAGACTGAGTCATCTTTTAAGACGGTGCTGGCCGTTTAAGAAAAAATGGAGCCTTGCGAGGTGGTGGGCTTGAAGTCTTGAAGAAGTGAGGTTGTAAGGAAAAGGTGGGAAACCAGGAAATCTGCCTAGAAAATCCCTGCTAGGCAAGTGACACACTGTATTCCGCTTGAATTGAATCTCAGGTGGGGGCGGCTTTGTTTCAGAGGTGGGGCCAGGGGTGGAGGGGCGGGGCCCAGCTAAGGGGCGGGGCCTAGCTAAGGGGCAGGGCTTACCGGGAGGCCGTATGGCCACGTGTGGCTGCGTCTCGGTGTAGCCCCCGATGGGCTGGCCCTCTGGGCTGAAGGCTGCACCCTGCCCTGCGAAGGGGGTTGGGAGGTGCAGGCTAAGCCCCAGGAAACCCGGGGCCCAGCTTGGACGCTCTCCTAAGAACCCCAGGCTCTCCGTCCCCGCCTTCCCCCGCTCCCCGTACCTGTGCGGTTGGATTGATCGATCATTGGTTGCACAATGCGTCTCCGGGCGTTAATGAACCTGAGAGGCGGTCAAGGAAACGGAGGGGGATGAAAAGAGGGAATGGGAGAGGGGCTAAGACCAACACACAGCAGGCCGGGCGGAAAGGACCGCGGTGGGGGAGGCAGGGCGGGCCGGGCAGGGGCAGAGGCTCCGCGGGGCTCGGGGCCTCCGTCAGTACCGCGGACAGCGCCCCGGCTCCCGCCCCCCGGCCGGCCCGCGGGCCCTCCTGGGCCACTCACCAGTTGTTGACTTGCAGGATGGTGAGCCCCGTGTCCTGCGCCAACTGTTTCTTCTGTTCCTCCGACGGGTACGGGTGCTGCAGCCACCAGCAAGAGTCACTCTGCCTGCCTGGCCGGCCGCGGTCTGAATCCCAAAGTCGGACCCGCCGGGGTCCCGGGGATGGGGCGCCCAGGCCCAGGTAGAGGTCGGGAGAGCTGGCGCGTCTCAGCGTCTCTGCGCTCCCCAGGATGGAGGCCAAGCGAGCCCCAGACTTGGGGCAATTACATGCCTGTGAGCCCCCGCCTCTTCCAGCAATTAGAGGTTAATTGGCCAGCTCTGATTAGAGAGACCGTGTTGGGGGAGGGGACGCCTGTGGTATGGGGGAGGGGGGTTCACTGGCGTGGGGAGGGAAGCAAAACCCAGACCCTCCCTTCCTAAATCTGTCAGAGTCTCTGTGTGGGCCTCTCCCCATCCATTTCTTTCTTTCTCTCTCTCTCTCTCTTTTTTTTTTTCCCCATTTTTTTCTCTTTTTGTTTGAAACAGGGTCTCGCTCTGTCACTCAGGCTGCAGTGCAGTGGTATCTTCATGGCTCACTGCAGCCTCAGCCTCCCCAAGTCAATCAATCCTCCAACCTCAGCCTCCTGAGTAGCTGGGATCACAGGTGTGCAACACCATGCCTGGCTAATTTTTTTTTTTTTTTTTTTTTTTTTTTTTTTTAGAGATAGGGTCTTACTATGTTGCCCAGGCTGATCTCGAACTCCTGGGCTCAAGCGATCCTCCTGCCTTGGCCTCCCAAAGTGCTGGGATTACAGGTGTGAGTCACTCTGTCTGGCCCTCCATCCTCTCTTTGTGGCTCTCACATTTTCTTCTCACTCTCTTATGTCTCTCTCTCTCTCTCTCTCTCTGGGATTCAGTCCCTCCCTGCCTCCAAGTCTCTGTCTGTCTCTGCCCCTCTGTGACTCAGCCTCTCCCTGTCTCTGTCTTGCTCTGACTTGGTCCTCCCCAAATTTCTGTGTCCCTCTGTTCCTGGCTCTGTTCTTTTCCTCTGTCCTTGGGGCAGTGTGGTGCAGTATTTAATGCCAGACTGCCTGCCTTTGAATCCACTTCTGGCTGTGTGACTTTACACAAGTCTCCTAAACTCTATGTTCCTCCATCTTCTCCACATCTGCTACATGGAGATAACAGCAGCCCCTCCCTCCAAGGGTACGTTGGGTGGATGACTGATGGGTGGGTTAATGGACGGATGGATGGTTCGTGGGACAGATTTAGCGAGTGAAGTGTCCCAAGCAGCACCTGCACACGGGTGGCACTCACTGCTGCCGGCTCCTGTCGCAATTCTCCACGTCTGTGAGTCTCTCGAAAAATTTCCCGCTGCCTCACTGTCCCATTTCTGGGTGTCTCGGGGGTCCCGGTCTCTGCGGCCCGCCCTCCTCCATCTCCCCACGCCCACCCTGCACCCAGGCAGCAGGGCTCTCACCGAGAGGTGCTGGAACAACCAGGCTCGCATGATGTTGGTGGCCACCTTGGGGAAGATCCCCCTCTTCTTGTTCCGCCGTCGCTCCTGGTCCAAGTCCTCACCTTCCTCACCAGAACTGGGAGAGGCTACACTGGTGTCCAGCCCGTCTCCTGAGGGAGGGCAGTGAAGAGTGGGGGACCAGAGGGCCCCAGAACTCTCCCCTAAGACACCACCCCACACCCCAGGCATCTCTGCCCCTCTGGAAGTCCTACCTGCAATCTACCTTCAATCCTCTAGTTGACTTCCCTGTTTCCCCTCCACCTCCTAAGATTCTCACCTTGGTCACTGGAGTTGTCCCCACTCTGGGAGGCCAGGCCCCCGCTGGATGGACCCGGAGTCCCCAAATGTACAGACCCGCTCTCCTCGTGTTCTCGAGTCCATATATTATTCTATAAAACAAGAGTCAGAAGTTAGTGCCAAGGCTTGGGGCATGGGCTCTGGAGCCAGGACCGCTGGATGGGAAGCCAGTCACTGCCTCCTTCCCGGCTGTTTGATCTCAGGCAAGTCACGTCCCCGCTCTGAGCCTCCGTTTCCTTCCTTGGAAAATGAAAGACAGGCCGGGGCACGGTGGCTCATGCCTGTAATCCCAGCACTTTGGGAGGCGGAGGATCACCTGAGGATCACCTGAGATCAAGAGTTCAAGACCGGCCTGACCCACATGGTGAAACCCTGTCTCCACTAAAAATACAAAAAATTAGCCGGGCGTGCTGGCAGGTGCCTGTAATCCCAGCTACTCGGGAGGCTGAAACAGGAGACCTGCTTGAATCTGGGAGGCGGAGGTTGCGGTGAGCCGAGATGGCACCAAGCCACTCCAGCCTAGCCTGAGCAGCAAAGTGAAACTTTGTCTCAAAAAAAAAAAAAAAAAAAAAAAAAAAAGGAAAAGAAACACAAAATGGACAATAATATTCCCGATGGAGTGTGGGCAGTATTCAATAATGAGTTCATTACATAGAAGCTCAAACAAGATGACCTTACACCATCTAAAATCCCTGGGGCCAGGCCGGGCGCGGTGGCTCACGCCTGTAATCCCAGCACTTTGGGAGGCCGAGACGGGTGGATCACGTGGTCAAGAGATCGAGACCATCCTGGTCAACATGGTGAAACCCCGTCTCTACTAAAAATACAAAAATTAGCTGGGGGTCGTGATAGGCACCTGTAGTCCCATCTAGTTGGGAGACTGAGGTAGGAGAACTGCTTGAACCCGGGAGACAGAGGTTGCAGTGAGCCGAGATTAGGCCACTGTGCTCCAGCCTGGCAACAGAGCAAGACCCTGTCTGCCTCAAAAAAAAAAAAAAAAAAAAAAAAAAAACCCTTGGGGCCAGAAGCGTCTCAGGATTTGGAAAATTCCACATTTTATTTTTATTTTGAGACAGTGTCTCACTCTGTTACCCAGGCTGGAGTGTAGTTATGTGATCTAGGCTAACTGCAGCCCCTGCCTCCTTGGTTCAAGAGATTCTCATGCCTCAGTCTCCCGAGCAGTCAAGTAGCTGGGGTTGCAGGCACCCACTACCACACCTGGCTAATTTTTGTATTTTTAGTAGAGACGTTTCACCATATTGGTCAGGGTGGTCTTGAACTCCTGGGCTCAAGCAATCTACCCGCCTCTGCCTCCCAAAGTGCTGGGGTAACAGGCGGGAGCCACTGCACCCGGCCCATTTCACATTCTTTGGCAGTAAATCCGTGCATACACCATGCAGTTTGCAAACATCGCAGGCGCAGGCAGGGTCTGGGGCACAACCTCGTCATCAAACTAACATTTCTACAGCAACATGGATGAATATTTAACTAAGTGGCATATATAAAGACCGTAACTAGCCCCTCATCAGTTCAGGTCAGCTTTTGCTGCCAAATGAGTTTGCACTAAATTTATGGGATAAAATCCAAAACTTTCAGTTTCACAGATTTGGAGGTCTCAGATTTGTAGCTAAGGGGGTCTGGGGCTGTGTTATCTTTTTCTTGTCTTTTTTTTTTTTTTGAGACGGAGTCTTGCCCTGTCACCCAGGCTGGAGTGCAATGGAACGATCTCGGCTCTCGGCAACCTCCACCTTCTGGGTTCAAGCGATTCTCCTGCCTCAGACTCCTGAATAGCTAATTACAAGTGCATGCCACCATGCCCGGCTAATTTTTTGTATCTTTAGTAGAGATGGGGTTTTACCATGTTGCCCAGGCTGGTCTCGAACTCCTGACCTCGTGATCTGCCCGCCTTGGCCTCCCAAAGTGCTGGGATTATAGGTGTGAGCCACCACGCCTGGCCTTATCTTTTTCTTTTAAGAGACAGAGTCTTGCTCTGTTACCTAGACAGGAGAGCAGTGTTGAAATCTTAGCTCTCTACAGCTTCAAACTCCTGGGCTCAAGCAATCCTCCCACCTCGGCCTCCCAAGTAGCCAGGACTACAGGTGTGCCTGGCTAATTTTTCTTGTTTTCTGTGGAGATGGCATTTAACGATGTTTGTCCACACTGCTCTTGAACTCCAGCGTTCAAACGATCCTCCTGCCTCAACTTCCCAAAGTGCTGGGATTACAAGTGTGAAGCCACGGTGCCCAGCCTCGTATTTTCTTTATCCAAATTCCAACACACTTTGAGGGACTTGACAGTGTGTTGTGTTTACCCTGTACCCCTGCTCTGTGCCCCAGGAGGTCAGCTCACCCACATGGACTGCAGCAAGACTTTGTTTTTCAGTTTAAGGTTGGGTTCAATTTTAGATTAAAACCACCTGGCAGATGGAACCCACCCTTAAACGGAAAAACTGTGTTCTTCCACCAAAACTCTCAGCCACTGTCAATCAGTCTGCTCCTCTCTCTGGTTCTGGTGACTACTCCCTCTCCCATCCTCCTTCTTTTTTTGGAGAGAGTCTCACTCTGTCGCCCAGGCTGGAGTGCGATGGCGTGATCTTGGCTCACTGCAACCTCCACCTCTCAGGTTCAAGCGATTCTCCTGCATCAGCCTCCTGAGAAGCTGGGAGTACAGATGCCCACCATCATGCCCGGCTAATTTTGTATGTTTCTGTAGAGATGGGGTCTCACTATGTTCCCCGGGCTGGTCTCAAACTCGTGGGCTCAAACGATCCATCCACCTGGCCTCCCTAAGTGCTGGGATTACAGGCATGAGCCACCGCTCCCGGCCATCACCAGGGGCTACATTTTTCTGTTTGTGACTGTAGTTTCAGGGTTTGGTTGTCTCATCTGTCACACCGCTTTGATTCCTGTGCAAGTGCGTACAAGTCTCTGGGACTTGGCTGGGCGCAATGGCTCACGCCCACCACTCTGGGAGGCTGAGGAGGGCAGATCACTTGAGGTCAGGAGTTCAACACCAGCCTGGCCAACATGGTGAAATCCTGTCTCTACTAAAAATACAAAAATTAGCCAGTGTGGTAGTGGGTGCCTGCAGTCCTAGATAGGAGACTGAGGCAGAAGAATTGCTTGAACACAGGATGCAGAGGTTGCAGTGAGCTAAGATCACACCACTGCACTCCAGTCTAGGTGACAAAGTGAGGCTCCATCTCAAAAAAAAAAAAAAAAGACCAAGGCTCCGGGACTATAGGTGTGTCTGGCCGTAGGGTGGTCGTCACGTGCGTGTATCTGAGGCTGTGTGGGGTGGGTGTGTGTGCATGTGCTGTGAAGATGTCACTGCCGGGTGTGCCAGCAGCAGGATTGCATGGCTGTGGCTCTCTTGTGACTTTTTACGCAGCCTCAGGGAGCTGGGATCCACACGCTGTCCCGTGTGTGTCTGCTGTCTGGTGTCCTGAGTGGATAAAACTAGTGAGGCTCCATCTGACATGGCGCCACCTCGTTGAGTTGCTGGGTTTGATTCTGTGTGGCTGCATCTGAGCCTGTGAGTCTATTTCCAAGTCTGCGTGGATGAGCGGTGTGTGTGTGACCTCAGCTGCAGCCCGGCTGTTACATGGCCAGGGTCACGTGTGTGCAAGAGGGCACCGTGGCTAGTCTGGGCCCAAGCGTGCCTGTATCTGAGTTTGCCAGGCAGTGCCTGGGGCTGTCTGGCTCTTTCTCCATCTGTGTGGCTGCTGTGTGGCTGGAGCGGGTGTGCGTATGCGGTGGACACATGTACTCGGAGAGCGGGGTGCGGAATGTGGCTGTGTGTTCCATGCTGCTGCTGCTGTACGGCTGGAATGTGTGTGTGAGTTTGTGGTAAATGCTGCGTCTGGCTGTGAGCAGAAATGGCTGTTGCTGAGCTGGTGTGGCCATGTGTGGACCTGCATGGATGTGGCGGAGTCTGTGAGGTGAGTGGAGCCTGCAGCCGCTGTGTGTGTGTGTGTGTGTGTGTGTGTGTGTGTCCCCGTCTGTGTGACTGTGATATAGTGGCTGCGTGGCTGTGTGTGTCTGTGTGCCCCGTGATCAGGCCGACTGTGGCCCCATCTGAAGCTGTGTGGTGCGTGTGCGCCCGCCTGCAGTGTCCAGGCGTGGCAGTGGCTGAAGGGTGCTGCCTGGCACCCACCCGGGGCCCACCTGGTCTGGGAGGCTGGGGCAGGAGGCGGGGTAGTCCTCGAAGTCCTCCCTGCAGCTGCCGTCCCGATCCTCGATGACCAGGTCGATGGGCATCTTTCCCTTGAGGCAGGTGATGTAGCGGTGACAGAAGTTGTCGCACAGGTCGTGGACCTGGGGGGGCACCGGGGTACTGGGGGGGGGGGCCACCCGGGGGCGCAGGGCTGGGGTGCACAGGGCTGGGGGCGGCATTCTGCTTCAACTCCGGTGGGGAGAGAGCTGGAAGGTGCGGGGTGGAGGTGACGAGAGCGCGTGGGATGCGGGGTCAAGCAAGGGGCTGGGTGTGGAGCGGGTGAGACGCACTCACCTTCTCCAGCTCCAGCAGGTGGAACCGCAGCACCTGGATGGCCTGGATCATCTGAAAACAGGGATGGGAGGGGAGGGGAGACAGAGGGAATCGAGGGAGGGAGCAGGGAGGGAGGAGGAGGAGGAAGAGAGGAGAGACAGAGAAACAGAAAAAGTGAGATAAAATGACCCGGGCGGACGGGAGACCACAAAGTCAGCAGGCGCACGGGGCAGAGAGAGAGGGAGAGACAAGGAGAGAGAAGCAAGAGGCAAACAAGGCCCATCACAAGGGCAAGAATGAAGGGGAGCCCAGCGGTCCCTCAGCACCACCGCCTCCACCTGCTGGCCCCCAGCTCCAGGCCCACCCCCCACCCGCTGCAAGCCACGTTTCCCAGAGCCCTTTGCCAAAGCGTTTGGCCAACAGGAGGCACTGGCAAGAGCTTGGGGAGCAAAGGACGGGAGAAGCCAGGCTGTTTTCCCGCCTTTCTTCTTCGTCTTCTTCTTTTTATTATTATTATTTTTAGATACGGAGTCTAAAGTCTTGTCACCCAGGCTGGAGTGCAGTGGCACCATCTCGGCTCACTGCAACCTCCACCTCCCAAGTTCAAGCGATTCTCCTGCCTCAGCCTCCCAAGTAGCTGTGATTACAGGTGTGCGCCACCACGCTCAGCTAATTTTTGTATTTTTAGTAGAGACAGGGTTTCACTATGTTGGCCAGGCTGGTCTTGAACTCCTAACCTCGTGATCCACCCGCCTCAGCCTCCCAAAGTGCTGGGATTATAGGTGTGAGCCATTGCACCCTGCCTCCTCCCTCTCTTCTTTCTCCGTCCGTCCTTCCTTTTCTTTTTCTTTATTTCTTTCTATTTCTCTAGATATTTATGAAAGACAGGATCTTGCTCTGTTGCCCAGGCTGGAGTGCAGTGGAGCTGATGAAGGCTCAGTGCAGCCTCGACCTCTTGGGGTTGAAGCGATCCTTCCACCTCAGCCTCCCAAGTGGCTAGGACCACAGGTGCGTGCCACCACACCCCACTAATTAAATGTTTTTGCAGAGATGGGGTCTCACTACATTGTCCAGGCTGCTCTTGATCTGTGGCACACTCAAGCTATCTTCTGGCCGTGGCCTTCCAAAGTGCTGTGGTTACAGGCGCGAGTGGCCGCACCAGCCTCCTCTCCTTGGACAGCAGTCCCCGTGCTTACTTTGCTGTGGGTGCTGTTTTCCTGACGGATGGAACATCAGACACTTTTTGAGCCCTATTCTGTGCCAGGCGCAGTCCCATGCACTTGACTCGCTTTCACACATTAAATCAGCACAGTCGGCCGGGCGCGGTGGCTCACGCCTGTAATCCCAGCACTCTGGGAGGCTGAGGCGGGCGAATCACGAGGTCAAGAGATTGAGACCATCATGGCCAACATGGTGAAACCCCTTCTCTACTAAAAATACAAAAAATTAGTCTGGCGTGGTGGTGCGCACCTGTAATCCCAGCTACTCAGGGGGCTGAGGCAGGAGAATCGCTTGAACCCGGGAGGCGGAGGTTGGGGTGAGCCGAGATTGCACCACTGCACTCCAGCCTGGGTGACAGTGTGAGACTCCATCTCAAAAAAAAAAAAAAAAAAAAAAAAAAAAAAAAAATCCCCACAGCCGCCCTCCAAGACAGAAATTACTACCAGCCACACTTCACAGACGGGACACCGAGCACTGAGTCGTGGAGTGCAATTTGCCCTGGTCACAGAGCTGGGGCGAGGCAGCGCTGGGATTCGAACTCGGGCCAAGGGTCCCGTTCTCAGACTCTCGGGGACCCCATGGCACGTGGGCAACAATCAATCATGGCTGTTTGGGGACACGGACCAGGCGGGCTCCTCTCTGCACCCCCTCAACCAACCCTGGGAATGGGGAGTCAGGATGGGAGACTGACGGGAAGGGGTGTGGGGGAGGGCCTGGGTCTCACCAGATTGTCCAGTTCTGGGTTGGAGGAGAAGAGGGGCCGCTCCGAGTGAACCTGGGAGGGAAGAGAGAGGCAGGCAGGGGCATGTCGCGCCTCCACCCGCCCCTCCTCGCTGGGTCTCCGGGTGGGCGCGTGGTGGGCGGGGGTGTCCACCTGCTTAGCGAAGGCAGCGATGTCTTCGTTGAAGGAATCGGAGGAGCAGACGTCACCGCCGGGGGGCGTCCCCAGCCCAGTGCTGGCCGCATCTCGGGGAGAGCAGGTAGCCAGTTCACATTTCTCAAAGACCAGGGCCAAGAGGGGGAAGAGCGGGTGTCTGGGGAGGCAGGAAAAGAGAGAGGCTGGGGAGAGGCTGGTGGGGGGGGCGGGTGGAGGGGCTGGGAGGGGGACAGGAGGCCCCGAGGGGATAGGAGACAGAGACCTGTACACAGAGAGACACAGACCAACCCCAGGAACTGAAGAAACAAAGACAGACAGGAGGACAGACGGAGGACAGGAGCCTGAGTCCAGCGCCCGCTCACCCGTAGATGTCATCCTTCTCCCTCTTCAGGCTGTCGCTGTCCAGGCCGAGGGGCAGGGGCTGGGGAGGCCGGGGTGGGCCATAGGGCCCTGGTGCTGCGGGCACTGCCTCCGGGAAGCCAGCCAGGGCTTCAGGGCCATCTGCGATGCCTGGGTAGTGTGGCAGCTCATCGTACTGGGGGAAGGTGAGAAACAGGGAGCCCCAGGGGGCTGAGGAGCTTCTCCATCCTGCGACCCAGGAGATGCCCCTCTGTCCCAGAAACCTGCCTCTGGTCCCCAAGTGTCTGAGCCCCACCCCTTTAAGCCCTCCTGGCCCCCTGGAGCTGTCTGGGTGGGAGTCAGGACCCCGTCCAGGCAGAATGCTGACTTTTGCACAGGAGGACCCAGAGGGAAAGACAGCAGGGTCTGGCTGGGAGGGAAGAGAGACGGAGAGAGCGATGTGAGACGACAGAGACAGAGACTGAGGGAGAGACAGAGACAGACAGACAGACAGAGAAGGAGATTGTCAGCACTGACACCGTCCACGGGGACCGCTCCCATTGCTGTACACAAAGCACACACAGAAAGCCTCCCTGTCCGCCGTTTCATATCGCGGCTGTCAAACAGGCGCATCAGAGTATGTCTCAACACGTCACACTCCACTCACCACGTGAAGCCACCACACACAGACACAGCCATACACACCAACCCACGTGCACACTCGTGTGTCAGCCACACCCCAATACGGCCCCCACGTGCACGCACACACACAGCCAACAGCAGGCACAGGAATGAATGCATGATTGAGACATTTAGCACACGAATGAATGAATGAAGGAGGCATTTTGCACCGGGCCTGGCCGGTGCTGTGAGCACTTGCTGATGGAGAGGGTCACTCTGCACGGCCACACAGATGCACCCCAGAGAAACACCATTATGGGGCGGGTCGCCCGTGTCCTGCTGTGACAGAACCTTGTGCCTGGGAAGCCAGAGGCACCTTTCAGCCATCAGGTCAAACCCTTTCTCAGGGATGAAGACACGGAGGCTCAGAGAGGGAGCAGGAGGAGGCTGGAACATTCCTGCCTGGTCAGGCACCCTGGCTCGGTGGCCCGCTCTCCCTCTCCCTCTCCTAACTTCTCCTGCGCCCTGAAGTTGAATCCAACCGCTCCCCGCTGCTCACGGTACTCATCAAACGCGGTCCCCACAGCCCACCCTGAACCCCCAAAGCAGGCACGCACCTCCTCCCGTCTCCGTTCACATCCCTGGGGAGAGAGGCTCCCTGGGGCCGGCAGCCTGGTGAGCCCACCCCTTCCACCCCGTCCCACTCCTAGCCCTGGAGGAGCAGGGGAGGCTTGGAACAAAAGTAGACGGAAGAGAAGGGCGGAAGAGGGAAGAAAGGGGGGCGGTTGAGATGGATAAGGAAGCCTAGGGACAGAGAGGAAAGAGACAGGGGCAGAGAGAGGGGGGCAGAGAGGCAGAGAGAGGGGGAGACCCAGGTCAGAGAGAGGGGAACAGAGGCAGAAAGAGCGAGAGAGGGGGACAGAGGCAGAGAGAGCGAGAGAGGGGGACAGAGGCAGAGAGAGGGGGTAGATCGGGGCAGACAGAGGGGGACAGACAGGTAGATAGAGGGGGAGACTCAGAGAGAGGGGGATAGAGAGGCAGAAAGAGAGGGGAGACCCAGGATAGAGAGAGGGAGACAGAGAGGCAGGGAGAGGGGGACAGAGGCGGGGTGGGGGAGACCCAGGCAGAGAGGGGGGGATAGAGGCAGAGAGAGGGGAGAGACCTGGGGTAGACAGAAGGGGACAGACAGGTAGAAAGAGGGGGGAGACCCAGTCAGAGAGAGGGGGACAGAGGCAGAAATTGGGGGGAGACCCGAGACCCGGGACAGGGAGAGGGGGACAGAGGGGCAGAAAGATGGGGGAGACTGGGGCAGGGAGGGGGAAGCTAAACGGTGGGGGAGGAGGCGGGGCCGAGGGGCAGGGAAAGGGGGCACTTAGGGGCAGAGAGGGTCACAGAGGGACTGAGAGAGAGGAGACCCAGGGGCAGGAGGAGGGGCAGAGACAGAGAGATGGTGGAGAGGACGGATGGACTGACGCAGGCCAGGCCGGAGAGGGGGGATGCTGGGGCAGGGGGCGCGGGGTCCCCGCCCT